CTGACCTGGTCCAATCCCCAGCTCAAGTCTCCATCCCTTCTCTAGCTGCCCTGGCACAGGCTGGCCTAGCTTCTGTTCCTGCCTGAAGAATGCTCCCGTGCCCGGGCAGCTCAGATCCCTGGAACGTTCTTTCTTGTGGCGTGCTGGCCCCGTGCCCATGGCCTCCCCAGACCCTTGCCCCACCCTCCAAGGCCCCCCAGCTTCCCCCCATCACCTTCCTAAGGGCCCCTAGGACTAAGCTACTGGGACCGGGGAAGCATAAACAAGGCAGTCCCAACTTGCAAGAATTCTTACTATTCTTGTGAGACAGGGTCTCGTTCTGTCGCCCAGGCTGGAGTGCAGTGGTGTGATCATAGCTTACTGCAACCCTGAACTCCTGGCCTCAAGTGATCCTTCTGCCTCGGCCTCCTAAAGTGTTGGGATTATAGGCATGAGCCGCTGTGCCAGGCCACTTGTGAGAATTCCTAAAAGAAACAGAGAATCACCAAGCTATTTATAGCTTTCAGAAGCCCTCCTCTCCAAATCGTGAACAAGTTGCAGAGGCTAAACAACAGGTTTCGTTTATTTGTCTTGTTGGCTGGGCTTATTCAAATTCCACGTTCCCCTCTGTGCTGACGACAGGCAGCAAGACACTAGGGAGTGTGAGGCCTGCACTCAGACCAGACTATCCCTTGTCAGCTGTGTGACCTTGGCAAAGTTGGTTAGTATCTGTGTGCCACAGTCACCACACTGACAGAAAGAGGAGTTTCAGGATGCCTCACAGGGTTCCTGTGAAGATGAGGCAAGGTGACTTCTAGAAGCTGCGCCTGGTGGCCCCAGGGGCTCGCTCCATAGCAGCCATGACAGGCAGGCATTTGGGCAGTGTTTTACGCCTTGGATGAATGCAGTCAAAGTGGGAAGATAACTTCACAACATTTAATACACACAGGCCAACAAACAATAATCTTTCAAAGAATTAAGTCCCTGCATAAACATAACAATAAAATAATAAAAAGTGTCTATGGTGAGGAAAATGGAAACTCACTCTCTTGGGCAGAAACTAAAATGACATTCTAGACTCCTGGCAGCGGATACAGTGGCCCTAGTGAGGGCCCTATAGGGGAAGGCCAAACCCACTCCAGCCACTTGGAGGTAGAGACAGAGTTTCCCTGACAAGGATGGCCATGCCCTGTGTCTCTGCCCTCGAGAAGGCTCCAGCAGGAAATGGACACCTGGGAGGGTCCCTATGCTGATGCGAGACGGCTCCACTCTGCTGGACAGGGCCCCAAGTTGGCGGGGGTCCTGGAGGAAAGGGAGTTCTCAAGGGCAGGGAGATGTGGTCTCAGCCTTAGGAAGGAAGTGCGGTGCCAGGCAGGAGAGCCGAGGACAATGAACTGGGCTTTGTGCTCGAGCTCACTACCTGTGATTCTGTGTGGATTTCCCTTCTGTCATTCCCAAGCTTTGGCAACAACTGTTATTTTTGGGACTGGATTCTCTGCTGGGGGGCTGAAATTAAGGCAGGGACTAAATCCACTCAGGTTGCATGTTAAGGAGGAGCAGAGCGCCCTGAGGCCAGAGGACCCACCTCACTCAGGGAGATTCCTTCTGCAGGCCAGGCCTGCAAAATTTGGTACCAGCTTTATTAGGGAAAATACCAGGTCGGTCTCTTTACACGTTGAACAGGAACTGCTGGTTAACAAGACACGATTAACTTGCTAGGAATGGACAAGGACAGCGACAGGAGAGTGCTTCACAGCACCTCCTGCTGATGGCACCTTCATTCTGGCTGCAGAATTCTCCCAGGAAGGGTCCCGGGCTCTTCAGGAGGCATTTACTTGGAAGCACAGCTCAGCGTATCTGTCCAAAGTTGTCCAGCCTCCAGCCTGGCCCATGTCTTCAGGCAGCTCTGAGGCAAGAGCAAAAGAGACGGGTTCCCTGCCCCCTTTTTACCCGCTGGATCAGCTTCTACGACTTGGCCAAACTACCTTTCTTTCTGTCTGCCGTGCTGGGAATCCCACTGACAGCAAGACCCAGAGTCAGGCACATTTGGGGGACAGGTCCATTGGCCACTCCTCACTTCTGTGGGCTCCGATGCCAGCAGAGCCACGTCAGCAGCTGCTACCTCTTGCCGGAGGGAGTTTCTTCTGGCCTCACCCACCCAGCCATGGCTACGTCAGGGCAGAAGGGAGAGAAGAAAGAAGAGAGATGAGATGAAAGGATTTAAAATGTGCAACCATCTTTGAGGTTTCCCACATCTGCACTGCTCCACAGTGTGAAACAGGCTTTCACTTTCACCTGATCCGTGGGGGCTGCTATCCCCTTGTAACCAAAAGGGAAACTGAGACTCAAAGGGAGTAACAAACATGCTCAACGTCACACAGCGCTAGGTCTGACTACGTCCAGAGCTCTTTCCAGGGTAACAGGTTGCTTCTACTCATTTCAAAGGACCAAAACCAGAAAAACACGCACCCAACTGACACCTCCTCCCTGACGATCTAGAACTTACACATTACGTGCTGCCTTTGCACATGCCCCGGTTGGGATGCCCTTTCTCTTTCCTGCCTAAACCTGCCCTTCGAGGTCCCACTCCAGCTCTCTCCTCTAGGGTCTGCCCAGGCAGAGTCTGAGCCATCATCGATGACTTTCCCTGAGCCATATACCCAACACGCTTCATCACCACACCATCTCACAGACATGCTTGTCTCCTCTAAGATACTATGGGGTTCCCTTGAGGGCAGAGAAGTCCTTTTTCATCTTTGGAGGCAAAGCATACGAGTGGGGCTGGCACAGGGTAGATGCTCAGTAAATGTTTGGTAACCAAAAGAATTAAAAAGTAAACATTCTCCTCACAAAACCAGCTGGCCTCCATATAATTTTGCGGCGCTGAACTAGAGGCAGGAGCCCTCTGTGACCAGCGGGAACTTGGACATCCAGTACCCAGGACACGCCAGCAAGACACTGCCTGGGTGCTGGGAAACAATGCCCTCCATCCTACAGGAGAGCTCAGGGTGGAGCCTGAGCTCAATGCCCTCAAGGCTGGAGAGCTTTCGGAACAGGGACCCTGCCATCTCAAAGCAGGCCCCGTCCCGACGTCCCACTGCCAAGCAGACCACCTCTGCAGAGAGCTGCTGGGGACAAAAAGGTGACCACCAACGGCCCTGACCCACTCCCAGGGCTGCGAGGCCTCTTGCCTGCCGCTGTTCCAGTCAAAGCGGGGCTTCCCCAATGGTGTCCAAGGAATTCCAGTCTTGCAAAAGCACCTTGGAGAAGTGATGAGAGTAATGTGGGAGACACTACGAGCTTCTTGGTCCTGTGAAGAGGCCTGACACGTGTGGGCATGCTGAAGGTTATGAGAGGCCTGCAGCAAAGATGATCACGTAGCTCGCTTTAACTTGGTGTCTGCCAAACCTACTTGACAGGGAACCTCACCCCACTTTCACATACACACCCTACTTTTCTTTATGGAAAACCTATTAACATCCTGTGGAACTAGAGTTCCAAGGAGCACAATTTTGGGAAATGCTGGTGAAGGTCACCGAGCAAGGGAGGTGCTTCTTGTGGGGGGCGGGGGTGCAGCCTCCTGGTAGCAGGCTGGGGACACATGTGGGAAGGGAAGGGGGTGATCAAGGACCAAAAATCACAAAAATAAGCACCCAAACGACCCCTCCTCCCTGACGATCTATAGCCTGCACGCTCCGTGCTGCCTGCGCACATGTCCCCGCTGGGGTGCCCTTTCTCTTCCCTATCATCCGCATCCAAACATGCCCAGAAAGGGTGCCAGGGACCTCTTGTGAACCAGCACACAAACTTCCTAGGAGGAAAAGCCTTGGACACTTGAGTCCAGTGAAAAAGAAAAGAGAAGCATTGTCTGGAGCCTCTGCTGTCCTGTCTGCAAAACGGGAATAGCCCCGCTCCATCCAGGGTCATCCACTGAGTTCATGGAGGTCTACATTTGTAGAAAGGTGACCCCCCGGCACAGCTGTGTATCATTGGTGTTCAATCAGACTTACTGAGTGGAAGCTATACCAGTATATGGTTATGAAAAAAACAGCACCACAGCAAAAAGCAGGCACAAAACCTCAAAGTACGTAACGTCAGGGGCCATGAATTTCAGAGGCAAACAATTCTAGGCCTACTGTTAACCCCTGAAGCCATCAGTAAATTAAAACAAGAATCTGAAGTGCTTCTAGCTCCGAGAGTCTACAGGAGTTAGTGGAAAAGGCACAGGCTTGCAAGCCCACCGGGTCCAGTTCTGAGCCCAGATCTGCTCCTTCTGGGCTGTTTAACTGGCAAGCAGCTTCCCTCTCCCTAAGCATCCAGTTCCCAATGTGCGAGATGAGGTTACACGATGCCCCCTCCAGGGTGGCCATGAGGATGGAATGACAAAGATAAAGCTGCAGCACACAGTAGGGGATGAATGAGTTGTCTCCTTAAAAAGGCTGGAACATGAGAAACCTTTGTATAGGTGTCTGTCAGTAACAGCTAAATGAAATACTTTGTCTTCAGTCCTGTGGAAAGTTGGCTTCTGTGGGTGGAAGGCTGAGAGGATTTAGAGGAAAAACACCCACTATCAGGGCAGGGGAAGAAAACGACGAGGCTCTGGGCAGTAAGATAACGACATCCTCTGAAAGCCAGCATAGGGGAGTGAGCTTTCATGGCTGGGGGAGAGACAGATGAGAGATGGCACCTCCCAAGGAGACCAACTTGTGGCTCAGCACTGCTCAGGGTAGAGATTAGAATTCTGTGCAGACCCAGCACTTTGGGCACACTGGTTCTCAGCTCCAAATAAGAGGCCGTTGAGCTGCATCTGAACTTTGAACCTGAGTCCAGAGCACAAGGTCTGCCCACTCTACCGTGCTGCTTCTCAATGTCGGGACCATCTATTTACAGGTGTTCTCTTGCCCGTCGAGAGCCTGAAGGCTCTGGATGGTGTCTGCACACTCGGCACCTGGTATCTAACATAAATGCAACAAGCACTGGCGGAATTAGTCACTCACTGGAAAATATTTCAGAAAGCCACCGGGTTTTAAAAGTCAGGGCCACTCTAATTTAGTATAATATGATACGGTAGGAAACAACACAAGACAATTCCCTTTTGAGGAACACAGCATTGACAGGATGTAGAAAAAATTCCAAATTTTCACTTCTTTGCCTAGAACCTTTGAGCACCAGAGGACTTTCACGATATGACCCATTAGTCTTCTGCTTCCACTTTCAGTGCAGAAAGCCCTGCAGTGATACGGGTGAGCACTGTGGAGTACCAGAGCATCATCTGGTCTGACCCTCCACTTTGCAGATAAGGAAACTGAAAGCTAGGAAGAAGAAGGGATCCACAAAGCAGGCCTCCACTTCTTTCCTTCTATAATAGACTGTCTTTGCAATAAAGAAAAACGCGTTTGACATACACATCTTGAACGCATGCTGTAAGCTGTACACAGCAGGGGCAGTGGAATGCTAGAGCAGTCACACACATAGCACTGAGGGACCCAGCGGCTGAAAGGGGGTCAAAAAAGACTCCATCTGACAGGTGACTTGGACCAGGAGGGACAAGTTAGAAGTTTTAAGGGACGATGTGGCAAGAGGGCTAACCTCTCACCATAATACATACCCCCCATCTAAGTCAAAAGTTGTTGCTGGGAAGCCACTATGTGGAGACTGCACATCCCGGCCTCCTCTGCATCCAGGTGGGGTCACATGACTAACAGCAGCCAAGGGGACGTGAGCAGGAGTGATGTGTGTCGGTTAAGAGCAAAGCAGGTAAGAAGCAGCCATGCCTTCTCCATCGTCCCTTTCCCTTGCTGCCAGCCAGAAGCAAACTCTGAGGCTCCCAGGGAGGGCGGAGCACAGGATGAAAGGAGTTGAGTGCCTGCATCACTGAGTGAACCAACCTGCCAACCAGAAGCACCCCCACTGGACTGTTACATGGGAATCTGTCTCTGTGTGTTGAAGTTCGTTGCAGCAACAAGTACTACCAACGAATGCAGTGGATGTGAAGCAGGCATCCCGAACAAAGGGAACAACGTGACTAAGGAACAGCAGTGTGATGGGGGCAGGGCTGGGGCCGTGGCCATGTGAAGGGGTCCCGGGATTCAGAGCTCACGCTGGTGGCTGCGGGAAGGAAGATCACGCACAGGGGCTGTTGCCAGGGGCCCTGGTGTTGCTGGCGCTGCTCTCAAAGGAAGAGTGAAAGTTGTGAATGGTTTCCTGTAAAATTTGTCTCTCGCGTCCCTGCGGAGGAAATTGAAAACAGACACAGAAAGTCTTATTAAACCTTTTAACCATTAATTCAATTGACACAGTGTTGTTAATGTTCAACTCATACTTGAAAAACCCATGGGCGTCTCGGGGAAAATAAATTACCTAATTGAAAGAGTACCCAGTTCAATAAAAACATACTGAGTCAGAATCTCCCCAGCACCCAACATCACAGCCTGTCAATGCTGCAGAGGCCCTGGGATGCAGGACCCCAAACCCCTGGACAGAGCGGGAGGCTGAGCCCGGGGCAGGACTGACTCTTCCCAAGTCGCATGGCCCAGATTCGAGGTCTCCTTTCCTGTGCCTCTGTGCATCTTTCCAGTCCTCAGATTTTCAGAAAATTCAACGGGAGCCCAGTTTCCTTCTGCTACAGGATAAGAGTTTAAACTGCCTTTGCTTCCCTTTGCCCAAAAGCTGCCAGATTTGTCTTCACAGAGATTCACTTCTCACTCTATTCCTACAACGCCCCCTGCCCCCTATACACACATTTTCAGGTGAGAAAAGAGGGTGGATGTGAATGTTCCGTTAAGCCCAGAAAACATCATCACTGCATACCAGGCTCAGAGGCATCAATACTCAGAGATTAAGAACAGAGACTGGGTCCTAGCCAGAGCAACCAGACAGGAAGTCAAACTGTCGCTGTTTGCTGATGACATGATTGTTTACCTAGAAAACCCTAAAGACAGCTCCAGAAAGCTCCTAGAACTGATAAAAGAATTCAGCAAAGTTTCCGGACACAAAATTAATATACACAAATCAGTAGCTCCTCTATACAACACCGACCAAGCTGAAAATCGAATCAAGAACTCAACCCCTTTTATAATAGCTGCAAATAAATAAATAAATAAATAAATAAATAAAATACTTAGGAATATACCTAACCAAGGAGGTGAAAAACCTCTACAAGGAAAACTAGAAAACACTGCTGCAATAAATCATAGATGACACAAACAAGTGGAAACACATCCCATGCTCATGGATGGAAAGAATCAATCCTGAGAAAATGCCCATACTGCCAAAAGCAATCTACAAATTCAATGCAATTCCCATCAAAATATCACCATCATTCTTCATAAAATTAGAAAAAACAATTCTAAAATTCATATGGAACTGAAAAAGAGCCCACATAGCCAAAGCAAGACTAAGCAAAAAGAACAAATCTGGAGGCATCACATTACCTGATTTCAAACTATACTATAAGGCCACAGTCACCAAAACAGCATGGTACTGGTATAAAAACAGGCACATAGACCAAAGGAACAGAATAGAGAACCCAGAAATAAACCCAAATACTTACAGCCAACTGACGTTTGACAAAGAAAACAAAAACATAAAGTGGGGAAAGGACACCCTTTTCAACCAATGGTGCTAGGATAACTGGCTAGCCACATGTAGGAGAATGAAACTAGATACTCAGCTCTCACCTTATTCAAAAATCAACTCAAGATGGATTAAGGATTTAAATCTAAGACCTGAAACTATAAAAATTCTAGAAGGTAACATTGGAAAGACCCTTCTACATGAAACCCTTAGGCAAGGATTTCATGACCAAGAACCCAAAAGCAAATGCAATAAAAACAAAGGTAAACTGCTGGGACTCAAACTAAAGAGCTTTTGCATGGCAAAAGGAACAGTCAGCAGAGTAAACAGACAACCCACAGAGCGGGAAAAAAATCTTCACAATCTATACATCTGACAAAGGACTAATATCCGTAATCTACAATGAACTCAACCAAATCAACAACAAAAAAAAACAAACAATCCCATCAAAAAGTGGGCTAAGGATATGAATAGACAATTTTCAAAAGAAGATATGCAAATGGCCAACAAACATATGAAAAAATGCTCAACATCATTAATGATCAGGGAAATGTAAATCAGAACCACAATGTGATACCACCTTACTTCTGCAAGAATGGCCATAACAAAAAAAATAAAAAAACAGTAGATGCTGGCATGGAGGTGGTGAAAAGGGAACACTTACATTGCTGGTGGGAATATAAACTAGTACCACCACTATGGAAAACAGTATGGAGATTCCTTATAGAACTAAAAGTAGAACTACCATTTAATCCAGCAATCCCACCACTGGGTATCTACCCAGAGGAAAAGAAGCCATTATATGAAAAAGATACTTGCATACACATGTCTATAGCAGCACAATTCACAATTGCAAAATCATGGAACCAACCCAAATGCCCATCAATCATTGAGTGGATAAAGAAACTGGGGGTGTGTGTGTGTGTGTGTGTGTGTGTGTGTGTGTGTGTGTGTATACATATATATATGGTGGAATACTATGCAGCCATAAAAAGGGATTAATTAATGGCATTTGCAGTGACCTGGATGAGACTGGAGACTATTATTCTATGTGAAGTAACTCAGAACTGAAGTAACCAAACATCGTATGTTCTCACGTGTAAGTAGGAGCTAAGCTAGGAGAACGCAAAGGCATTAAGAATGATACAATGGACTTTGGGGGACAGAGGGGGAAAGGATGGGAAGGGGGTGAGGGATAAAAGACTACATATAGGGTGCAGTGTACACTGCTTGAGTGATGGGTGCACCAAAATCTCACAAACCACCACTAAAGAACTTACTCATGTAACTAAACACCATCTGTTCCCCAATAATCTATGGAAATAAAAAATTAAAAACAACAACAACAACAAAGAACAGAGACTGGGCTGGGCATGGTGGCATGCACCTGTAGTCCCAGCTACTTGGAGACTGAGGTGGGAGGATTGCTTGAGCCCAGGAGGTCAAGGCCAGCCTGGGCAATAGAGCGAGACCCTGTCACAGTCTAGGTTTAGAGCCCATTTCTCCCATTTGCTAGCAGGGTCACCCTGAGCAAGATACTTAATCTCCCTGGGCCTTGGTTTCCTCATCTACAAAACAGGGATGATAACAGTCCCTCAGGTGATGGCTACGGGATTGTCAGAAGGCCTCAGACACAAAGCTGTCCATTGCAGCACCATTTATACAAAGTTTGAAAATCTGTATAAGCAACAGGTAGGAAATTTTTAAAAATTAATTTTAGCACATTTCCCCATCAGACCTTGTGTGGGTAGCTGGAGGCAGACAGGTCCTATCCTCAGAGGGCAGCAGCAGATTAAACATATTTTTAAAAATTAATAAATATGGTCAAAATGTAAATTAAATTAAAAATGTATCATCTCTGGCAGACTGTTCTCTACTAAGAGTGAAAAGGGGGGAAAATCCACTGAATGAGCCCAGACTTCAAACTTTCTTTCATTTCATGGGCTCCCTATAGGCCAGAGGGGCCCCTCTCCAGACCCCCACACAGACACGTCTTGTGCTGATGAGGCCTCCTAGACTCAAGAGGACAGTAAGATTCTCCCTTCATCCCAACCCATCCAAACAATTTTAAATAAGCTGGAAAAATGCCCTCCAGATTCCATCAACACAATCCAAAGGCTGGAGGGTATGACAGAGCATTGGATGCCAGGTCAGAGCATCTGGAATCCCCACTCTATCACTGATTAGCGCCAGCATCCCAGGCCCACCCCTTTTCCACTAAGTATCTGTAAAATGGGGATAATGTGACCTGCCAGGGCTGCACTGAAGCTCACCCTGAGATAATGAATGGGGTGGCACTGTGCAAACTGCAGAGGGCTAAAGTGTAAATGGAAGGGTTGACAACAATTTTATTATTAAACACCACCTTAGCCTTAATTGCCTGAGAAATGAGGTCAGGGCAAGACAGGGTTCCGGCCCTCGCTGCCTGCTAACCTTAGGAGGGAGCTGCAGATGATTAAAACCGTAATTGTTTCCTGCATCTACAACTGATTGAAGATGATAATGATAATTGCCCTTTAAAAACCCCTGAGTTTCAAAGGACCTGCCTGATAACTCTCAAAAGGGAAAAAAAACCAGCCATTAAATGTAGAAAAAAGGTTCACCTATCTAGTATTTCAAAAAACGCAAATGAAAACAAGGTACCTTTTTTTGCCTATCAAATTAATAAAGATTAAAAAACAAACTGATGTAATACTGGCAAAGCTGCAGTGAAACGAACAACAAACTCTCACACACTCACAGCCAGTGGAACTGTCCACTGGCTCTTTCCAGAAAGTTATTCAGACGTACATATACCTTGATTCCGCCTCTTTGATTCAGTAATTCCACTTTCAGACATCTACTGTGAGGAGATGATTAGAAGGCCTTAGACACAAAGCTGTCCATTGCAGCACCATTTACACAAAGTTTGAAAATCTACATAACCAACAGGTAGGAATTTTTTAAAAATTAATTTTAGCACATCTATGCAAATTTATATGAAAAAGAGTTCTTAATGACATGAGTAGCTGCATATATTTCATATTAAAGAAAGCAGGAGATAAAATTACAGACCCAAATTTATCTCAGTCATATTTTTAAAAAAATTTAAGGGTGTGGTGATGCGTGCTCATAATCCAAGCTACTGAAGAGACTGAGGTGGGAAGATCCTTTGAGGCCAGGAGTTTGAGGCCAGCCTGGGCAACACAGGAAGACCCCATCTCTTTAAAAAAGAAAAAACAAAGAAAAAGGACACAAAACACTACAGAGTAATCTGCCCAAAGGTGAACAGTGTTGGCCTCTGAGCGATTGGATTGTGATTTCTTAAAGAAATTCTTTTCACCATTTTGGTACTGTGTAAATTTAATAAAATCATATGCACTGCACTGACAACCACAAAAAAAGGGCAACAGAAAGAAACAATGACTTAGAACCAACTAACTCCTCATTTCTGGTAAACCTCCAATATGTAACTCGTCCAAAACTAACAAACTAATGAGCAGGCTCGAGCACACATTACAATTCCAGTACTGGGGTGGGTTCATCTGGAAGTGATATGGCTTGCAGGCTAAGAGTCCACAAGCTTTGCTAATATTACTATGCCTAATAAGACTTGCTGATGTTATTATATTATGAGCCAGGTGTTTGGTTAATACTCACTTAAAAAAATTTTAGGCCAAAATGCTCAATCTTATTGATTGTGTAAAAAATGCATTTTATATCACACCCTGTTTTCATGTAAACATATATAACTGAAACATTTTGTCCTTTCTATCTGCAAAAGCATGTTGCTATTTTCTATTCTATTTCCTAAAATGTGCTGCTCATGCCCCATTAAATGGATTCTAAAACCCATCAGTGTGCTGTGGGCCACAGCTAGAAAGACACTGCAGGGAAGGAAAGCTGGGTCTCCCCATCTCATGTGTCCTGGTCTAGGCTCTCCAATGTGTACAGAGCACGAGAGCCATAATGGGTACTCTCTCTTGGTTGGCCAAGCTTGAGTTGCAAAAGAAAAAGTATGAATGTTACAAAGAGAAGTTCATGCCCTATAGCAAAACCAAAGAGGCAGGAACCCTTGATGTCAAGGTCAGGCAAGTCCAGTCTAGAACAGCCAAGGCCCAGAGCATCTGAAGGCTGTAAGCGCAGTGAACTGGCTCTTGGAAGCCACCTTTGGCCTGAGGAGCTCTTTGCACATCTGAGAACCAGCACACAGTTGCAGTGCTAACTTAGAATAATGCAGAAGTTAAATTTGCTTTTGTACTATTACATTTCTCCTAAACACGCCTTTTCTCGATGACTCATGATGATACACGGTCCTCACTTTCAGAGGACTTTATCTGGTACTATATTTACTCTTGAATAACAGGGTCTTTCTCCAGGGAGGTGGTTCAGATCGGCTCCTTCTCCTTGTACCTATTACTGTGTGGAACTGCCTGACTGCAGGGTGGATGCTGCCTGCTGGAGGGACATGGGTGGGATTGAGTGGTGCTCTTGGCCTGGCATGTCACAGGCACCTGGGCCTCTTGGTTGGGAGCTGGTGAGCTGGGCCCCTAAGTAGGACCACTAACAGCTGTCCCTTCTGCTTCTCCTGATGGGGCCTGTTTAGTATAGGATGCAGACTGTCATAGAACAGGGAATGAGGGGAAGGGGGGATGAATTTGAGAGGAAACTGAAAAAAGGCTGTAGTCTGTATAAACTTTAAGAACAATGTCCTCTATCAGGATGGGCTCAAGATGTCACATCATTCACTCTGATGATGTCAGTTAAGTTTCCTAAGGTTTGCAAACTAGCCCAGTCTGTCTGCTTTTTGTGATCCTGGGCCAAGGAGGACACAGTCACAGAGGGCAGAGGGGAGGTTCTGGAAGCATTAGCAGTTGCTATCCGGTGGCTCAGCTCCCGGCCTGTCCTCTCACTGGCCCTGCCTCCAGAGCCTTTTCTGTCCTTCTTCCTTAACTGGGGCTTGGATTTTCCCCACTCCATTCTTTCCTTGGTTCACACATCTGGCCTCTGGAGGCCAGGAGGAGAAACGTTCCTCTAACGCCTGGGCCACAGCCCTTCACCACCCCGCCATCCCTCAGCCACCTCTCCTCCCCAAAGGCCTTTCCCTTACTTGATGGCGTCATCCTTTACCACCCTGGGTGCCTTGCTCTGTCCCTTGGGCTTCCCCACATCTCATGTCTCCTGTTCTATGCGCCAGTCATTCCTTTATTCTTCAAACACACTGTACACCTCACCACAGGGCCTTTGGCACATGTGCCTACCTCTGCCTGCTCCACACTTTTCTACTGGTTTCCACTCTTGCTTCAGGTCTCAGCTGCCTTGCCACTCCCTCAGGGGTATCTTCTCAGCCCTGACTCCAAGCCAGGAGCTCTCACAGCACCACCTGCCTCTCCTTTATGTGCTGTGGGTTAGTTACACCGAGGCAACTGGAGTCCTTGGGTGAGTTCCTCAACTTCTCTGAGCCTTGGTTTCCTCATCTATAAACTGAAACTGACTTCAGCGGCTTTCGTAAGGATTAAATGAATGACTATAATGTATGACATGCTCAGAACACAACGCGAGGCACAGAGTGATTCTGAATGGTCAATACCCACACGGTGCCTGAGACATAAAGGCTCTTTTTCATGACTAAATCGATGCCCCAGTCTTTAGAGATTGTTCTGGTTGATTCGCCTTCTGTGAGCCACCCTCAGGCTTCAGTTTCTTGGATGATGCCCTTCCTAACAGCCGAGATCTGCCTGCCTCTGACAACCTCCATACCTGCCTTACCCCCCTGCCCTCCCCGCTGACATCTAACAGCAGAGCAGAAGCGGTGCTGGTCCGGAAGTCAGGCATCACTGCCCAACTCTGAGCCTGGGCTTCCCTATATGTAAAGTGAGGTGGTCCAGGCCCATGCAACAACCAAGAAATGTTTAGAATCCGGCCATTTACAGAGGAGAAGTAACTAGTAAAGACTGGAGGAAAACTACTTGGCCTTGGGATGCCCAAAGCAATGCTAAGGGCATCCCTTTGAAGGATCACCTCGTAGTCTTCAGGCAGGAAATAGGAATGACGACAGTGACAACAAAAACCACCGCCTCCAATCCTGGCAGGGCTGAGAGGAGCCGCCTCTGCACAGCACAGTGCTGCAGAGAGGTGAAGAGAAAGAGGCCAGGAAGCCTGGGTTTAGAGTCTCCCTCCACTGCCCACCACTGTGTGACCTGGGCACCATGCTCCCCTCCCTAGACTGTGCACCCTTGCCAGCCAGACGAAGTAAGTGTAAGGACACCGGCCTCCTTGGGCTGTCTCCAGGACTGATGAGGAAACATATGTAGTGATTTGCAGATGATAAAGTACCATGTAAATATTTATTTGCTGCTGGTGCTATGTGTCTGTTCAATATTTCTGTGCATAGTCCAGCAACATAAAGAACCATAAAAGTGGCCATGCTCTCTGGTATCTCTGCATACTGTGGAACACAGAGGGAGGGAGGGAGGAAGGAAGGAAGGAAGGAAGGAAGGAAGGAAGGAAGCAAGGAAGGAAGGAAGGAAAGGTAAAAAGGCAGAGATGTCCATTATGGCAATATTCATAATAACAAAATTCCAGGCATGAGACTATTGTCCAGCAAGTGGAAAGCTGTTAGGCAAAGTGTGAAAAAGCAGCAGGTAAATAGCCACTGCACATTGTTGCTGGAAAAAAAAAAAAAGCCACCCTATATTAAGAAAAAAAGCAGACAGCAAAGGAGTTCCAAAAACCGAACAGCAATTACAATGAAGCTTGCAAAGTGAGTGGTGATTTGTCTTTTTTATTTCTGTGGTTCTTTTTGTTTTTGGTGTGTGTGTGGCTCTGGGTGGGCGCAGGGTGGGAGCATTGATATTTTTAGCTTTAAAGCTGATGAGAAATTTAACATGAGACAAAAATGTGGCAAGCCGACAATAGTGACTGACGGCTGTCTGTGTGCCAGGAGCTCTGCTGAGCATTTTAGTCCTTGACACAACACCATCATCCCCACCCTACAGATGGGGACAGCGAGGCTCAGAGAGGTGTTCGCCTCACCCCACACAGTGAGTAAGTGAAGGAGCTGGGATTCAAACCCAGGCCAGCCTGACCCCAGGGCCTGTCTGTGTCAAAGGCTCGAAGGCTCTGCTTTCACAGCGCTCCCGAGGGCCACACCTAGCCCTATGCATTGAATTAGCTAAGTGAAGATTTCAGCTCAATCTGGGGAGAAACTTTATGGGGGAAGAGGCCATGCTGGGAGGCAGTGAGTGCTTGCTCACTGTCAGATATGACAGAGGAGAGGAAGTAAGACCTTCTCCAGATCCCAGGACCCTGGTGAAGCTCTCAGATGTCTGAAACATGGAAATACAAGAAACAGAGAACAGTACCTTGCCTGCATTCAGTTCAGAAATCGCTGCCAGAATCTGCTGCCTGGACCCATCTGTCTTAATTCCCAGCTCCTTCAAGTCACCATCAGTCAGTGTGAGGAACGCTTCCATGTCCACCTGGGGAGAGAGAGGGGATTCGCCACCATCTGCTGGATGCCACAGATTCTTCCCAGCCACAACAGCAATCTCACGATTATGAGCTATGAGTGCTTATTAGTAGTAAACTGATGATGATTTACTACTTCTAAGTCCTGACTTTATCTTTAAAGCATTGTTGAAAACATTTAAAAAAAAAAACGAACTCTCCTCAGATCTGGCTCTTGGATTTTCTGAACAGATGCATTTTAGGAAGACCCTTAAAATGAGCCAAGTAAGGAAAGTCTCTGAGATAGTCATCTGGGTGGCTAGAACAGGAGAAATCCAAGACCTGCTATTAGAAAAGTTAACTGCAATGTTGCTGTACTTTTAACAACGTCGGATACTGTGCAAACGTATGGCAGTACTCACCTCGTCTCCCCCACCATGCACGAGACAGAGACAGACTGTGGAAAGACAGAGTGAATAAATAAGCAGAAGCAATAAAGGAGAGAGGGCCATGGAGAATGAGAGCAGAGCTCAGAATAAGGGCATCTCAAAACTGCAAGCCTTGGTTTCTATGGGTGAGATCCTGATAGCTCTGTCAGCCCTGCCTGGCCCCTGGACAGGAAATCAAGCCCTCTGCTCCACTGGCTTCTGTTCCTCTACGGCAAGGTGGAGGGAAGGTCGGAAGGGGCTCCAATGAAGCAAGCACATCCATCACCCTGCATGTCGGACAACAACGGCCTCTGGCATAGGGGTCCACACCTGGCAGGATCCAATCCAGGTCCACTGGGAAGCCAGTCTCAGTGTTAGACCAGAGGAGAGCAGTGAGCACTATGTGTGCAAAGCACCTTCTGAGGATTTCAGATAGACTGAGTCATTTAACCCTCATGACATCAGCGGGGTAGATCACTATCCCCACTTTGGAGACAGGGAAACTGACACACAGAGTTTTTTTTTTTAGCATTCAATGTAACATGGCCAGTAAGTGGCAGGGCCTGGCTTTGAACCCTGGCAGAGGGCTCCAGCATCTTCGCCCTTCTCCACAATGCCACATCATTCAGCCGCAGATTTCCTGGCCTCCCTCATGGGCTTTTCCTGAGGGCAGTAGCCCTCTTGCTAACATGACTTCACTTCCCTAAGCATTAAGGCATTGGGTCCCCGGTCTGGGCCCCTCCCCCTGGGGAGATGCTGTTGCAGACAATGCTACAGCTTCACAAATCAGACTCCAACAACGGCGCTCATCTGGGAGACGGGACAGAGAACTGGCTGCCCACACCCACGTCTTCAGCCAGAGCTAAGCAGAAGGAGGCTGTGTTGCCCTGGAGACAGATAGGGTGCCAATTCCCACTCACTGCCGGGGGACCTGGGCAGGTGCCTTACCTCAGTTTCCCCACCGAAAAATTATAGTCCCACCATATAAATTACAGGGTGGATGCGAGATCTACAAAGAGAGTTTACAAACAGCTTTACGATCTACATTTACAAACTACAAGATACTATCACACTTTAGAGATATGCTAGTGCCATTTAAAATGAAACTTGCATAACTTCTTGAAAATCCTCAGTCTTTCACTTTATAAGCAGGCTTTATTTTACATTTCCTCATACCTAACAAGATTAAAATTTTTTTTCTTTAAAACATTTGATTTATGTAGGGATAGAGATTTTCTTTCTGAAATTTTCCCTGCTCCCCATCTTTCCTTTTCTCTGTTAACAGTCATTTTACTTTTCTGGATTAAAAACAAACAAAAACCTCGAACCAGGTTTGAGTCACTGGGGAAGAATCTGCTCCTTTAACCCATCCTTAGCCCTCCCTGAGATGCAGGCACCCCCACCCCTCTGGCAACAGTAAGCTCCTGGCATCTCTTGGGTGTTTTATAGCTCACGGAGTGCTGAGGGGCTGAATGGATGGGTGATGCCATTTGAATGGAAACCACCTGCCCCAGTCCTGCTGGACACGAGTCTCTCCCCACAATCCCAACCCCTAGCAGGGACCCCACATCCAGCCTGGCACCATGGCCAGTCCTCAGTGATTCTGACGTCCTCAGCACCTGCCCTCTTGGTGAGGGGCCCTCCACCTCCTAACTGGTCTTTCCCTCCCAGTTATTCTTCCCCTTCTGCCCTTCCAACCCCTGTCCACCTCCATACCAGAGGCTACAGACCTGTCCAGCCTGCATCTACCTCAAGCCCGTGGTGTACAGAAGCAAGTCCACGCTGTCCAGGCCCTGCCTGGTCAAGCTCCATTCCCTCCTCCTGATGGGCTGGCCTTGGCCCAGTCCCAGCCAAGCCAGAGTACCACAGGCTCCCTCAATGAATCCTGCTCCCTCTTCCCAGATGCCCTTCCAGGTCCGTTCCCCCTCTTTCTCCAAAGTTCAGCTTAGTTCTCAACCCAGGTCTTCTCTGGCCCTCATTTCACAGACCCCTTCTCTGGGTTCCAGAGTATTCTGGGCATCTGCATTTCCCAGCACCCGGCTCTGGCAGAGTGTCTGGCAGGGGCAGGGTCTCAAGTACTTAGTGTGTGTTTGTTGACTGAATGAATGAATGACTGCATCAATCAATCAATCTTCTGCCTCTCCATCTGCACTGACCTTCCCAATTCTGACCTCCGTCAACCCTGGGAGATGCCAAACTCTCAGGGCTTATTCTAGGTGGAGAGCACCAAAGACGGAATTCCTCTCCTATGACTACTTGTGAAGGGGTAGCAGGAATGAGGCAGAAATATCCCAGTATCCTTTCAATATTCATGCCCTATTTTTTAAGCAACAGAATCCCAATTTTTAGCTGGGCATATTTCCACACAGTTAAAACATATTTCTGAGTTTCTTTTGCAGATCAGTATTGTCAGGTGATAAACTTCTGGTAAATGAGATATAATAAAGACTGTGTGGGACTTTGGGGAAGTCTCTTTAAAAAGGAGGGAATGCGTCCTTTTTCAGTCTCCTTCCATCCTGCTGCCTGGAATGTGGATGTGATAGCTGGAGCTCCAGTAGCTATATTGGACTTTGAGGATACAAGCCACGTATACTAGTGGGGGTGGAGCAGAGAGCTAAAAGGGGCCAGATGACTCATCTCCAGACTTTCTGTGGGAAAAAATCACCTTATTTTTTGTTTAAGGTACCATTATTTTGGTATTTTTCAATACACATAGTCAAATCCACCTTAATACAGGTAGAAAGATGAAAATTATTAGTCTGTCTTTAGCTTCAATGTGGTAAGATAAGAACATGAATTAACTTCATTCCTCTTCCAAATTCTCACTGATTGACTGTAAGTGCATATTAATGGAGAGAATTGTTTACTGTTGGAAACTAGGGAAAAGTGCTATCTACATGCCAGATACTTCCAGGAGTTTCTGCAAGGGACTGAGAAGTACCCATGAAGCTGTGGTGATTGGGTCTGGTGGCAATCAGCAGGGTTAAAACCTCAGTCCTACTAAAGCCTCCAAGGAAAACACTGGGTTGTGGGTCCATATAGAGAGTGCACCCCTACAGTGTAACCAGCTCATATGTTGCCAGAGAGAAACTAAGTAAAATGAAGAGACACTGAGCTTGGCCCCCAGCAAGCACAGGCACCTGTGTCAAGTAGAGATGAGGGCACTGCCTCAGCTAACCTCACATGAACCTACCACACACAGAGGTCCTCAGCCAGTGGCTGCCAGCCCTCCCCATGGCACCGCCTCAGGCCCCAGCTCCCTCCCTGATCCCAGAGGCTGCAGAAACTTCTAGGTGAGTGAGTTATTAAAATTAGAGCGGTGCGGTGGCTCACGCCTGTAATCCCAACACTCTGGGAGGCCAAGGTGGGCGGATCACGAGGTCAGGAGATCGAGACTATCCTGGCTAACACAGTGAAACCCCATCTCTACTAAAAAATACAAAAAATTAGCCAGGCATAGTGGTGGGCGCCAGTCCCAGCTATTCGCGAGGCTGAGGCAGGAGAATGGCATGAACCCGGGAGGCGGAGCTTGCAGTGAGCC